ATACCAGTCAAGTTAAACTTTTTTCAAATGTAAAACAAATAAACAAACAGACTTGAGAGTGCACTGAGACCCAAAAGCTACACACCAAGTTTCAAACAGGAGTGAATTTTTACAGAAGAGAAATAAATCCCTGGATCTATATTGGAATCTATAATGAAAAAGCTCAGAAGGCTAAAAGCTCACAATTTCCACATAGAATTTTAAATTAGAAGGCCTGGAAGATATTAAAGATAATTACTAGAACTTTGGAAGAATTTCAAATATAAGGTATATGACAGGCCCCAACAATTCTAGCAGAACTATTTCTCTTGAAAAAAATGTTCTGAAAAGCTTTTTAACTTCTGCAGATCCTTGAATTGCGATACAAAAAACTGGTGTTCTATTAATCAGTATTTACTTTAACGTCTATTTGGAGTTTTGGTGGTATAACTGTGCCTACTCTACTCAATCTCTCTCAAGTGCCACATACACTTAGCAATTTTTTCCCAAGAAAACTGTAGTCATTTGCAAAATGCAATATTCATAGTGGCCTTATCCTCCTTTGGTGGGAGAAAGCCTATATGAGACAGTAAATCCAGTGAGTTTTGATATATAGCATTTCCTTCTAAAAATTCTGTCAGAGCTGAAAGAGGCATGGTCCTAAACTCACAGATGTTGGAAGACCTGCATAATCCAATACTTAAAGAAAATCTTTTGTTACCTCTACAAGTCACCAGTATATGCTGGGATAGGATGTGGGGAGTTTTGGGGACTGCAGTAAAGATGAGTAAAAGATATGCAAAGGGTTTCTCTTGTATGAAGAATCTGAAGGTGCATATAAACATCACATTTAGATTGCCGTAACAGAGCTTAGGGTGATCTAAATAGCTATATGCACAAGAGTTTTCAGGGCTTTCCATAAAAATGGTGTGTCCATCACATAGAACTAACTTTAGATCAGCATGGGTTAACCACATCTAAAATGGGCTAACCCAACCCATTGAACACTTGCACTTATTCCCAGCACAGCTCTAAGGTATTTCTTACCTTCCAAACCTATCTAGCCCCCATAAACCAG